CGATCAGCAGTGATGTGGTGGTTCACTTTTACACTGTGATCTGTAGCCTATAGTTCGGCTTTAGCTTCAAACTATCTTTGTCTTTTTAACCTGTTGTTGCTGCTGAGTCAGTTTGACATCCTGGATATATCCTTCAAACACAGACTGTAGACCCCTCTGTCTGCTGCTCTGTCTGCTACTCTCTGGAGTCACTCTTTCATTTGTCCAAAATATGATCATATTTCTTCAGGGAGTGCAGTTAGTTACAGTGTGGGCTTTCCATAATAAAGTTCCCATGACTATGGAAATAGTCGTTTCCACAGCAGAATCTGTGGTTTTCCTCGATTGTGTTCCAATATTTTATCCTACAATGTAAGTTCTTTGCGGTTACTGTCCCCTGAAGGGCAAATGGCCAAACTGAACTATAAAGTATCCTTTCTTCCAGATGTTAACTGTACTATGGTAGATAGTCCATGTACATGGAGCAGTAGAGCTACAAGAGGGTTTGCTCTGTCCATTGGTTTGTTTGTTTGCAAAAAACAATGTCCCATTCCTGCTAAGTATCAAGCTCTACTTACAAAGTAATTAAAAAAATAAAATAAAAAATGAAGCGTGCACTTGCGCTCTGAGTGACAACTGAACGCCTAAGGATGGCCACGTCAAATGCTCCATCTCAAAAAAATACAGGTATGGACACAAGTTCAATCACACTGTGGCAATTATTTTTCTTGCCCTACTCTCCTGGTTTTATTCAAACATCAAACTGTATTAGCTAGCTGGCATACAAGGGGGGAGAGACAGGACGTAGGGGAAAAAATAAAGAAAAACAACACCTTAAAATAATTCCATGACTTTTCCAGGCCTAGAAAATGAGATTGTGGAATTCCGTGACTTTCGAGGTTTTCCATGCATGTGATAACTCTGCTATAATCAGAGGTTTAGTGGGGGAGGTAAAGGAGTCAAGTCTCTTCCCAGAGGAGACCCAAGGTGTGATGAAGGTCCTCCTGTGATGCCATCAACTCACTAAACTGAGGACACTAAGAGCAACACTGTGACCGCAGTAGATGTGGCGTATGCTCTGAAGATGCTCTGTACAGCTTCAGATCTGTCCTTCATTAAAATCCTTAAAATCTGGTTTGCATATTATACATTTATATTTAAGTTGCAAATAATAAATGTATTCATTCATTTGGCGTACTTCCTACCAGACATCTTGGTTGTTGATATTTTCATTTGTCAGACAACTACACGTGATACCACCAAAAAGCACAAGATGTCCGCAAACATAAACCCTGCCTGAAGCTCAAGATCAGCAAAACCACTGAGCTTTTGGTGGACAACCACAGAACAGGACAGAGCAGAGGTGTAGCAGTGACAGCAGGCAATACTTGACATATGGATGTTGCAAAGAAGCTACATATTCTAAAATACGGATGCTTCATACACAGCTGCACAGGATCTATACAATCATGATGGATACCCAAGACCATGTCTCTCCTTCTGCTCCGGTGTTGAATAATGTTCAAAAACATTATGATTTCACAGACAAGCTGACCTTTGCCCTCCTGGATATATAATGTCATCACTTAATCATTTGATCCTGTTAGACATTTGTGTGAAATTGAAATCATAATTAAAATCTTGACCTTTGACCACCACATTCTAATCAGTGTGAACGTTTGTGCAAAACTGTGAAGAAATTCCCTCCAGACATCGCTGATATATCGTGTTCACGAGAATGGCATGGACGGACAAACGGACAGTCGTCACATTACGTAACATAAGTCAGTCAGTCACCACCGACGTCAGTGCAGAGGCATAAAAACCACACCAAGTGCTTTTACAGTGTGTGTCTGCTTCTCCTGCATGTGTGTGTTTTCTTACGTTGTCTGATCCAGACAGCGAGGAGACAGAGGAGGCTGAGGAGTGCTGCTGAGGGCTGGAGATTGACATGGGGGAGTCTGCACTGTGGGGAGACACTGAGTCCCTCTGCTGCTCCTCCAACCCGACACCACCACCGAGCACACAGGGCTCCTGCTCTGACAACGGCTCCTTGGGAGGTGAAACTACAAAAAAAACAAATGAATGGTTTAGTAATCCACAACGTCTATTCGATTTACTTACTGAGTTTAATATTTATAGATAAAAAGTTAACTTTTCCATCATCTTAAATTTCTTCTTTCAATAAAATTCTCTGACTCAGATTTCTGGAGCTGCTCAGTTTGGCGTGATTCATCTAAAGCAAAGTATCAGTTGGCTTCAAGACTTTAGAATTGTACATTACAGTCTGAGGAGTCGTACCTCTGTTGTCTGTCCGTGTCAGATCCCTGCCCCCCCACTTCTTAATGATCCATTCCCTGTAGTCGATCACTTCCTGGGTCAACCTGATTATCCTGCCCAAGGTGCTGCAGGGAGGAGACAGAGGAGGGTTAAAGGAGCCCCACTACTATCCCCGGGTATCTTCAGTCCTGTCGAATGGATCGATTACTAACCTTTCAGAGTCTTTGTTGGGATACGACCGAGCCAGCGGGGACACGGCGTGACTCAGGACAGTGTAGGCGTAGTCAAACACCTGCTTGACGTGCATGGCACCATAGGAACCCCTCCCCACGTCGTTACCTACATGGAGCAGAGACAAACACAACAACACTGTGGTGAATATCACAGAGTAAACAGAATCAGCTGGTCCAGTGAACTGTGATATCCAACCCTGCTCATTTACAGACACTTAACAGATATACTGCGCAGGACAGTTTATATACAGAGGTGACTCCTCTCAATCTCTTCAGACCCTCTCTCAGTGTGTGGCAGTGTATGTTTCTGCAGAGACTCTGCCCTCTGCCTGTAGGTTCTTATTTTCCTCCCATTTATTGTGTTTGGGATGTTTATGTCCCCCCACAGCTCCCAGATGAGGTTGGGACTTCATAAAAAGGTAGCGACCAGGTGCCAGACCGTCGGCAGCAGGCGTCCAAGAGACACAGCGCCAAAACACTAAGACAACGAGGCAGAACGCCAAACGAGAGAGAATCTGGGGTTGGCTTTTACTTTCAGTTTCACTTTCTCTGGCGAGCGTGTTTACAAACTCTGACTGACAATCTCCATATGTACCTTCAAAGTTTGTTCAATACACAGAATCTTTATGTCTATGTGAGGTCCAGTTTTTATAGGACTTAAATCTAACAAACCAAATACTTTACAGAAACAGTGTGTGGGATTTAGTAGCATCTTGCGACGAGGACTATGGACTGCAACCAGCTGAAATGTCTCCCATTCACTCAGTGTTTACTGGTCAGGAGGTTTTGAGCCAAATTATCCACAGAGGGCTCCTCCTCCCCAAAACAAATGGACCTACTGATTTAAACTAAAAAAAAATATGTTTTTCTGACACTGTTCTGCTCGTTTCAGAGGGGCTGCTAACGATGGTAGTAGGGTTGGGTGATATGGCTTAAAAATAATATTGCAATATTTTTCGGCTATATTGTGATACACTATATATATATATATATATCGCAATATTTTGAAATCTCCTCTAAAGTAGGCCTGTCGCGATATGTGATAAGTCAATTAATTGCACGTTAAATTTAAAAGGACACGTAACTTTTCCGGCAGCGATTAATTCCCATATTCATGCGGGTTTGTTTTCCTCGTCTCTCTCCACCAAAGAGACTGGACAACAAGAGCGTTCACCGCCGTGCATCGTCTGGCAGCCAGGTGAGTTGGTTCATTATGAACGGAGGGAAAGCTCTTGTAATCGAGTGTCTTTGTCTCTGTGGGGGAGACAGGGCTATGGGCTACACACACACGCACAGTGCGATCTTCGTGAGGGGGAGACGAGGCGGAGAAATAGAGTTGAGCGTAAGAGAAAGATGGGGAACTTGTTCCTAAACCAAATGCCACAGCATTTATATATTTATATTTATGATTTATATATTGTTTTTTGTTGTTGTCTTTTTTCAAGTGCATTTTTTGATAAGAGACTGAGAGTCCATTTTATCATTTTTGGTTGTTTAATTTTTTTTTTTTTCCTATTACAGTGCACTTTTTATTAAAAGTGACTGAGAGTCTGTTTTTCTGTATGTGTTATTTCGGATATTTCAATTTTCTTTTTTTGCATTCCTAAATATTCTAGTTAAATAAATGTTTATTTCTCTTTAAAAGGGTGAACTTGCATCAATATGCCTTTATTATCATTATATAAGTTTAAAAATGGTCTAAAAACAGCAAAATTACAACAATAATAAAAACAGTCTTAAAAGCACAATATTATGCAATATTATCGCTTAACGCAATAATTTCTGACGCAATTAATCACCCGGCAAAATTTGTTATCGTGACAGGCCTACTCTAAAGTACTGTAGATTACTACAATATAAAATTATCAAATAAACTACAGTTACAATTAAGTTGAAGCATCTGGTAGTCAGTTTTTGTTAGCAGTTAGCAGAGAGTTAAACTGTTGCTGCTGCGTCTTAACACGTGAGAATTTAATCGTGAGCTGGAAACAATCTAACAGCTCTCTGGCTTATATATTATTAGTATTTACAAGTCTCAGTAGTGCTCCGTGGTCACAAAATATGACTAAATAGTTGCAGTCTGGAGCCCTGCAGATGATAAACACAACTCGACTGGTCACACACTATCGCTCTGGAGAAAGTGATCAGGGTGGGCAGAAGAGTGTGTGTGATGTGTCATGTTTTTGAGTCTTTCCTCTTGTGTGTATCTGTGAGAGGGAGAAAAATGAAATGCTGAAGCGTGCCTCATGTCGGTGGATAAAAAAAAAAAATACTATGTCTGCGATATAGTCTTTTTATACAACCCCTGTGGAAGAAGCTTGATACATTGAGTATATTCGATATATACATCACCCACCCTTATACCGTGGGCGACACAAAGACATGAATGTCTACAGCTGGAGTTTGGTTTGTCTCCTCTGGGCTACTGTGGAAACATGGCGGAGCAAGATGGCAATCTCCATAAACAAGGACTTGCTCCCTACGTATATATTAACGGCTCATTCTGAGGTAACAAAAACACAATGATTCTTACTGTCAGGTGATTTTACACCAAAGAAAACACACTTATATTCCAATTCTAACAATATATCCTCCTACATCCTGCGCACTGGACCTTTAACACTGGTTATCGTCCATCTGACTTTGCAAAATAACAATATGTCCCCCCTCTGGAAAATATTCTGTCCCATCAATACTTCTGCTTGTTATGAGAAAAGTGATTTGAACCAGTCTGTTCCACTACAGCTCCTAAAAACATCATTTAAAGCCTCATTTCACGTTAACCAGTTCACTAACAACCTCGTCATGACTGCATCTCTGTTTGAAATGTTTTATCCACTGTAATAACCATAAACTTGTGACACACACACCTGGAAGCAGCGGGTCCTCTATGCAGAGCATGGATGGTCTGTATCCGTTTGTCATGGCCTTCATGATCTCCTCTTTGGCTATGTACGCGCCTCCATTTTTGATGCGAATCCCTGTTTTCAAGTAGTTGAAATGGCGGCCGTACAACTCAAAGAACTCGATCAGCAACACGCCCAAGTTCTCGTTGGGGTTTCTGGCATCGATGCGAGGATGGAGCTAAAGGGCAAGCACAGGAAGACGGGACGAGTTTATATTTAAAACCAGTTTTACTGTGCGTTACTGATGTCTGTGTGCAACACTGGATATATGGGAAGCAGTTTATTACCACTTATTCTACTATAAACTGTGTTATTGCTGCAGTATTCATATCACTGATTATGGTCAATAAACAACAATCCTGTACTTCTACTGTCATAAGCACAGCTGTACTACCTCTTAAACTGCCCCCACTGTGCGACTGCCACCACATCCTGCACTACAGCTACTATCTGCTCATAATAAAGCGTGTTTTTTCTTTAGGTCTGTGTGTGTGCATCTTCCTGTACCTGTAGGAAGCTGATGACCATGAGGATGAGGCTGTACGAGCTGATCCCCCCAGTGAAGACTTCGTTCAGATCTCTCTGCAGCAGAAACTGCTTCAGCACAAAGATCAGGTAAGGCAGCACTGGATACATCTGAGAGAGGAAGAGGAGACACGTGTGAGAGTGAGAAGAGTTGATTCAGTCAAACTGTGGATTAGATACCAGGAGGAGGGTGAAGGGGAGAATCCTATAATCGAAAAAGTTTAATTATATAACTCAGGTTCTGTTTGTACGAGTCGCTGAGGAGGAAGTGGGGATTTCTGGTGAGATGTATAGAATTAAATGAGCAGGAGAAAGGAATAGACGACATTAAAAGTGAAGAGAAATTGACTTAAATGATTGCAAATAATTATAAAACAGCACTCACCAGCAGGAGTGAGTCTTTAGCTTAATACCAATTTAATTTGCTTGATTTTGGACTCAGTGGTTTGGTGCAATAACCGTTTCCTTTTGAACTTGAGTCAATTAAATTATTGAAATTGTGATTTGATTTAGCAATTATCAGGCAACCATCAAATAAATATCCGTATTATCCATGCAAGTTGGTCAGTTTCCAGTTTTGCTGGTCTGGTCCAGAGTACGAGCTTGAACCAGTTTGATTTTATGCACCAGCAGAACCGCCATTTGCCATTGTAACATGTTCCTACAAATTAATAAGTGCCCAACGTCAGCAGCCTGTGCTGACAGCGTCACAGTGCTAAATCCAATTAATATAGCATTAATAATACGCAACAATGTGATTAACATAATAGCATGTTTATAAATGGACTAATGGAGCCACAGATGTCTGACAGGATGTGTGCAACTTACTGCCAAGCCCAGGCCGGTGTACTTTTTGGGGTGACGAGGGGAGACATGACAGAGTTAGTTTCTCAAGAAAACTTAAACTGCGCCAAAATGACAACAGTTTGGATTTAGAGCTGATGTCAGAGGCTGCAAGTGCCTTTTGAGCTGAACTTTTCTTGGACATCCTGTTTCTATTTCTCTCAGATGAGGAACGGCTGATTCATGAAGCTGAAATGAGGAATTATCTATATGACAGCTCCTTATCTCACCACAGAAACCTAAATTCAAGACAGCAGGATGGAAAGAGACCGACAGGGAGCTGAAAGTTTCTGGTGAGCTAAATAACCATTGCTAATAACGAGCTAGGCTACTTGCTGTTGTGCTTCATTTCCAGTAAGCATTGCAATATAATACATGTTTTCTGTTTTAACTAGAATAACCGCCCCACGGTGGTATGACTCCATGCACCAGTCAAGTTTCTCTTACAGTTTCAAGATGAACAAGATTAGTGTCAGCAATTAAATATCTGACGAAATATTCCCCTTCTGTTCCTGAGATATGATGCTGAATAATGGCCAGAAATGTGTTCTTGAAGAACATTATGATGTCACAGTGAAGCTGACCTTTGACCTTTTGGATTTAAAATGTCTTCACTTGTTTATTTATCCTATTAGACATCCGTGTGGAGTTTTGTTAATAAGTATATAAGTATAATAAGTATTTACCTTCTTTTTTTTTTAAATATATTTTTTTGGGCATTTTCAGCCTTTAATTGATAGGACAGACAAGTGTGAGGGGGGAGAGAGATAGGGAGTGACATGCAGCAAAGGGCCACAGGCTGGAGTCGAACCCGGGCCAGTGGGGCAACAGCCTTGTACATGGGGTGCCTGCTCTACCACTAAGGCACAGACGCCCCAAGTATTTACATTCTTGAGTTACGGCTAAAAAAACATATTTTGTAGGGTCACACTGACCTTTGACCACAAAATTCTAATCGCATTATTCTTCAGTTGTGGACGTTTGTGTCAAATTTAAAGAAATTCCTTAGAGAGGTTCTTAAAATATCCTGTTGATGAGAATGAGACAGATGTGAGTTCACAGTGACTTCTGACATTTGACCACCGAAATCCAATCAGTTCATCAACAATTACAAGTTTGTGCCAATTTAAAAAAATGCCCTTGAGGTATTGTTGAGATATCATGTTCGCAAGAATGCGACAGATGAGGTCACCTAGACCTTTACATATGACCTATGACCCCCAAAATATAATCAGTTCATCTTTGAGTCCAGGTGGACGTTTGTGCCAAATCTGAAGACACTCCCTTGAGGCATTCTATATAGATATTGTGTTCACAAGGATGGGAGAACGTAGACAGCCCGAAAACATTTAATATCAGACTGGTTGGAGAATGTTCACAGCGGCCCAACCCTTCGTGCAGGTAAATGTCACAGTTGATTTTGTGACAGTTTCTGGCCAAACGAGTTAGTAGAAGACGTGCCAGCACTACCTGCAGCCTCAAGAGTGCAAGTGCCATGATGCCTGCAGTAGTTTGATTTATTAGTCATGTTTCCTCAGTGACTGTGACTAATACGTGCTGTTTCCATATAACTTGATGAAGCCGTCTGATGTTCTTTTAGGAAGCTATAACGCTGCCAAACTGGTGAAAACCCCTGCTGAAGCCACATTACTGCTCAGACCGCAGTGATTCATCCTATTTTTTCTGTAAGTCAAGGCAGTGGGCTAATCATAATTTGTTATCGATGCTAAGTATGAATTTCTACCCTTCAACTTGCCACATAAATATTCTGTCTGGCTTTCAACTGGGTCAAACTTTATAAAAAAAAAAGGTATTCACTGAGGCTTCCTGGAGCCTGTGACTTGATAATGTGCTGAAGGCCCCGAGGGCCTGAGAACGGGGGTTACAAATATGTTCATTTTCCAATTGAAAGGGAAGCACAACCTCCTGGCAGTACGTGCGTGCTGATCGGTGCCAGTGGAGCAGCAGGGCTTGGTTGACTCTTCAAATATGCTTTTAAGAAGCGAGAACAAGACTGGGAGGTACGCTGCTCCAACTGGCTGCATGAGAGTCTGACATGTGAGGATTAACTTTAAGGTTGACCTCTAAAATGACAAGACTGCACTGGAGTCTGTCACACCCACGCATTAACAACATTAACCATCACTGGATTGATGCTGAGTGGGCTTGTCAACGGCTGGCGGTCAAGCTGTGACATGTATATTCAGAGAAGCACGAAACAAAAATCAGACACAACAACAAAGGGGAAAAAAGCCAAAAGCTGACAGCTCGCTGGAACATCAGCCCCTGGAATTCTTCCCTGCATTAACTATTACATCTGTTACCAAAGCAGGCAGAGATCCACCTACAGCAGGTATTTTGTCAGAGCCACGGGGTGGATTTCACCTCCACTGAGTAGATTTGGCAACAAGGTTTCTCAGCTATACACAGACTCAGTTTGAGTTAAGTGGAGATTATTCTAAGCACAGTTGCTGGAGTGCGTTCCAGCTTCACTTTGGAAATGAGATGAGCCAATACGAGATTGGAGTGAAGTGTAATGCTTTAAACTGCTGGCTCGCCTGATTCGCAGAGGGAATTTCCAATGTTCTGTATTTAGACACCACTGTAAAATGGTAATTATGTGACTCCTCTGGTGGTTTTTATTTAAATACGTCTGCATGACCTTCTCCTGCTCTCCTCTTCCATATCCATGTGCTGCTTGTGATGTACGTTGTGGCTGCATTTCATTTAGTCCGTGAAGACTTCAGTTCACGATCCCTGTCTGGTTTTAAAATGCCATAGTGAAAGTTGCAAATGGATTTCTGTGCGTCATGTGATGCCTTCTGGTTTGACTCAGTGATTAAATAAAATAACAAGTGTGCCTGTGAGCTGTACATCCTGACGGCAGTATCACCAAGGCCATATCTCACCTTAACATAATCTTTAATGAAGCTTGCCGCCTTGACGCCAGTCTCCACGTTGAAACTGATGTCCACCTTCACCTCCGTCTCCTGGTCTGTCAGCTTGATGATTGGCACCTGCAGGGAGAACGTGTGATGTGTATTAGCAAACATTACAGTCAAGTCATCGGCTGAGGACACATTCACTGTGTGAGGGGAGAAAGCCATCTGTCCCAACTGACAGCCTTTGACAGAATAACTCATCCAAAAATGAGATTCAGTCATTAACTACTTATTATCATGTCAGTCAAGATGGAGGTGAAGCCTGCAGTGGTTAGCCTGGTCGTGTGCACACCCCACAGGATGACAGTGCATGCTACAGAGATACATACTACTGTGGGATCGTAGTTATAAACACTTCCACCCCAATGGGTGTCTACATTACACGGGACATGATGTTTATTTTCAGCTGCAAAACAATAATTTAACTTCAAAACAATAGAGAAAGATTACAAAAAGGGTCGCCAGAAGTGAACAGCAGAGAGCTGACCTGAATGCCTCGGAAATCAATGTTGAAATCAGCATTCGCATGTTTCGTTTACATATGTTAGATGAATCCCAACTAGCTCGTGAATTAGGAAACAGCAATCCAATATAATTTATTATACATCACCTTTAATTATTATTATTTCTTCTCAGACAACAACATCTAAACAACATTTGAGTGATAGTTTTGGGACAGTCCAGCATTCACAGGCTAACACATATGCTAGCAAGATGTCAAAAAAGTAAAATGTCTGGAATTGTTTCAAAAATTAGCAAAGATGACCCCCAAAAATTGGAGTGCCAGATATGTCAAAACAAACAGGCCTATCACAGATGTACTGAGAGCCTGGCACATCACCTGAAAACTGTAACAGCTTAGCTGATGTGCAAAGTATTTGTTTTTCTAGCTAATATGGCAGATGGTACTGAGACCTGCGTGCTAACAAAGTGACTAAATGTCACATTATTTTAGGTGCAATAAAGTCTGACAGACGTCCCATCTCTCTTCCCCTCCCATCCCCACCCCCCCTCGAACTTAGATGTTGAGAGACTGGTACAGGGGACAGCGCCTCAGTGGAGTGACCTGAGGGTAGGGATGGGAATTAAGAACTGGTTGAGAACTGGTTTCAAATTGTACGATCCGTTGCAATCGAATGCCTCCAAGCTTATCAGTTCCTTTTATCAATGCTGGTGTGTCGTCTGACAGTTTGCATTGCAAAAAAAGACGCCAACCTCATGCGTGTACGCTGCTGCACACTCGCAACAAGGATTCATGATAGAGAGGAAGAAAGGGTCCAAAGCATGGCTGCATTTCACAAAGAAATATGACCGAAGTGCTGCCTGTTAATTAAATTTCTGTTTTCACAATCTGTTTGTGATGGTGGTGGGACGATCAGCGGCTGATGCCTTTTGACTTTTAGCACTGAGGGATTGTCTAAGGGTGCCACCCTCCTCCTGCTCTCTTTGCCCTGTTAGAACAAGCTAACATGGCAGCATCCGCCAACACCCGACACAGAAACAACTCGACTCTGTTGTTAAACACACTGATAACTGTTGGGTGAGGTTAGCTGTGTGATGCTAACAGTTAGCCCTGTCACTGTGTGTGTGAAACTCTGTCACAAGTGCAGCAATATTCTCATGATAAACAGATAAATTTAAATAGTCAAATTTGCAGTGAAGTTGCAGTGATTGGACATTAAGGTTCCTGGTTCGAACTCAGGTCAGCGTGGGTTTCCTCCAGGTGCTCCAGCTTCCTCCCACAGTCCAAAGACATGCAGGTTAATTAGTGACTCTAAAATGTCCGTAGGTGTGAATGTGAGTGTGAATGGTTGTCTGTCTCTATGTGTCAGCCCTGTGATAGTCTGGTGACCTGTCCAGGGTGAACCCTGCCTCTCACCCAGTGTCAGCTGGGATAGGCCCCAGCCCCTGCGACCCCCAACAGGATAAGTGGTTATGGAAAATGAATGAATGTTGCGATCGTACCAAGGCAACAGGGACTGTGTAATGTCTGCAAAATCATTTAAAGTTAGAGTGAAAACAGCAGCAATATGCTGAAACATCTCTTGGTGCATATGGATTTAAATTCCAGCAATGCCACGTATTTGACACGAGTGCCACTGCTTCCCAACCGAGCTGCACGTCTGTTACTGGGGGTAAATATCTTAAAACAACATTAGAGCCACACAGGCAGGCTGAGCAGAATTTCTCTTTGACTAAGAAAAGCCTGAATGAAAACGAATGCTGAACAAATATTCTGTCATTTTTTCCTGTTTCGATGATGACAGACTGTTGCTACAGCGAACTCTCAGTCAGGCCTCACTGTGCTCAGACTCAGGGAGAATCAAAGTTGTGTTGAGGCTGCAAACCTGTGTATGTCTACTTTATTCCACACAGAAAACTGATCAGGAACTAATACGAGAATGATTAAGAATTGAACCAATACGCAGAACCACTGATGGTATTGATTCTGCGTATTAATTCCCATCCCTACCTGAGGGTCAGTAGTTGACGATTAACTTTACTTTAAGGTGAACTAGAGCTGACATTGTATCCTCTGCTTCTGTAATATCATAGTGGGCATGAACTTTATCTTCACATGACCACACAGCTGCAGTGTGTGCCACCTATCACGCCAACAGATGGAAGACACTAATTGAGCGTCTCCTCTTCCCCTCACATTTCCACGGACATTAAAGCGTGAATGAGCCAAAGCTTTATACTTCTAACTGACCATTTGAAGTTCAGAGGAACTTTTCTAGGAATGTAATAAGTGCTGCCAAATTTCACTTTGGCTGCATTTGTTACAATCGGTTCCCTTTTTGTTGCGGCTGTAATATTCTATTTCTTACTGTGAAGAATAACACCTTTAGCAGGGCTGAAATTAACTGAAAAACTACTCTGCTGTGCCAGATCATTAATCACTGCATCAGTGTACATGAGATATTAAACGGTCATTTTATCAGATTCACTCGTGTGTGTGATGGACATCTGTTGCTGTATCCAGTGTGGTTGTATTAAGGGACTCAACATGAACACAGACGCACACCCTGGTTACTCACTGTAGCTTTGTCCAGCACTTTGATGGAAAAAGGTTCTGCAACGTTATGCTTGCGAAGGGCTTGTTCCAGCTCTTGCAGCGGGGGGCGCTCCCACTTCCCAAACACCACCAGGTCAATGTCACTGAGGGCAAGAAACAGTCAGAGTGTTAAAATACCGGCCAGCAGAATACATCAGGAATAAAACTATCAGCTGGAGTGTTTTAAAATCTTACCTAGTTGGAAGGTACAGCCCTGTGCTGAAGCTGCCAAATATCTGGACCTGGGAAAAAGCAATGACCAACATCAGTATTTAAAAACAAACACATTGTGAGAATGGGCTGTGTGCGTTTGACAGTACAGATCCTGTATCGTACATCAGCTCATTTGTCGTCATGATTTATAAATCCAACTCAAATATTTGCAAACTTTCAGAAACTCTGTATTTCTGCGTTCCCTTTCAGTGACAGTAAACACTGACAAGTTGAGTAAGCTGCCAAATTAAGGATACAATAGCTAGGGAGAAAAAATGCCGTTCGGGGGATGCAAGCGAAAGCTCTCAAAAGGAAGCAGAGTGTTCTTTCTTTCCGTCTGGTAAATACGACAAGGCAATAGCACACAGACAGGCCAGAATTTATAGGCTGAAATGAAAAGGGAGGCCGGTACAAATCAGGGTTTGATCCATTTACCTGACAATGTGGCTCACAGTGGACGAGGGGAAGACTGGCAGCCAACAAATCACCACTGCGCGTGTTTTACATGATTAAGTAATGAGAGGGGCATTACATCAACCCTACGTCGCTGCACTACTCAACCAGCAGCAGGAGCCTCCATCACTATTTCTGCACATACAAAGTGAGCGCACCTTAAAATATAATTGAGAAACACGATGACTAATTAACACTTTTCATCAAATTAATTTTTGTGGCTTTAACTCTGTAACCTGTTCATTCAATCCAATCGCTGGAACAAATGTTGGCATTGTGCGTTTTTGCAAACCACAGATACGTCACATGTAGGGGATATGTTTAAACTTTACGTTTCAACAATGTTGCTGATGTCTAGCATGGTCTGCAGCTTGGCAGTCACATCCACCATCCCCTCTGCCTCCAGATGACAAAGTCAGTTCATACACATGTAATCAGGGCTGCATCACTTTAGAAATGTTGATATGATATATATGAAAGGTACAAATGTAACGTATCCCTTGTTTGCAGAAATGTACGCCAACATTTTCCTCTAGCGACTGGGCTGATTCATTTCCTTTATGAAAACTCCAAGTAGCATCAGCATCAGGCGCCTGTTGGATAGCTTAACAAATACCTACACCATTGACAAAAAGTACTTCTTAAATAAGAACGTCACTATTAAAAAAGGTTTACAGTAGTATTTCACTCTTACAAAGATGGTCTCTTAATAAATCTGGGCTGTGTGTGTCGTAGAAAGACAAAAATACTTTTGAAATTGGTGCTACATGAGCAGAGAATGCACTATGCTGCACTGGACTAATAAACACTCCTGCTGGTGGGCAATGCAATGAGAGTTGTAACACCATGGCAGTCGGCTGGTAACAAACAATTAGGCCAGAAATAGGAATGGCAGTAACAGAATCTTTGTTTATATTTGATTAGCACTGTCTGGTTTCACTGTTTGCTCAGAGTTCAGTCTGAGTTAGAGACAGAGACAGAGTGAGCCCCCAGGAACAGCACCAGGATTTAAAGCCAATTTTACACAGTGGCCAAAGGTGGAATTACAACCTTCAGGTCCATCACGTGAAGCCATGGGGCCCAAAAAACGCTCTCCTGTAGACTTGGGAAAGAGGTGTTTATTAACAATCAACGGCTACGTTGTTTGAGCGTCACAACTCCTTTGAAATGACTCGTTTCATTGCGGGGATTTGATCCATTTGATCCAATGGCATTTGGAAAATTTAGAAAAGCTGCATGATCAAATATCCATTCCCATTAAAGTTAGCGGAGTACTAAACTGAAAGTCAGTCTTGTGGCAGCCAAGCAGCTCACTTCTGTTGGCTGTGCATGGCCACTGTAAGTCTCTACTGTGCTTGCCTTATGGGCCCAACAATGCGGAAGATCCAGATAATTTCATACAGCAAAAAAAAGTTTTTTGGTTTCACTAACACTGTAGACAAGTCTCTTTTTATATCCGTGGTGGTGACGGGCAAGGAAGTGCAATCTGTAGTTTGAGCAACAGACCTAGAGCCAGTGAAGACCCGCTGGGTGATGTGATTTGAGTTGAGAGATGAGCAGGGAGATCATTTATAGTATGTGTAAATCATTCATTCTTCTACACATACTATCCATATTTTATGATATTAAGCTGCCTGAACATCTGCAATGTATCCCTTCAAGATATATTCCTAGGAAGGTCTTTGTGTGTCAGACTATTTCTTGTCCAGGACCAGTTGCCAAGCAACCAGTAGAGACTTAAAAGTTATTGGTTCTTACCATGAAATAGTCAGGGACATAATGGCAAATTCTTTATACTTTGGTTTTTGTACTAATCAAACAAAAGAGCTAGCACATGTTGAAGAGCTACCGCGAGCTGGTGGGCAGATTTGAATGAGCTAGTTGAGCTGCTTCCCACGTTTCTAGTCTTTGTGCTTTGCTAAGTTAGCCGGCTACTGGCAGTAGCTTCATACTTCATACAATTTTCTCACCTAACTTGTAGCAAGAGAAGGCATCAGCATGTTTACTAAAGTTTGACAGAATCCCAAGCAGCTACAGATGAGTAAAGTGTCTCAATCCAGGCTGGGGTTGCAACGGTATGAGATTTTCACTGTACGATAACATTCTTAGAAATGATCAGTTTCACGGTATCACTATATTACAGAATTATAATTATTATCAGTCACAATGACCCTTAAAGGAATGCCAACATAAAGGTTACTTTTGACTGAACAAACGTTTTATTACTGTAATCGAAACTTAAAACATTTCTAAATAAGTATGTGTATTAAGTTTTGAAAATAACCCAAATAAAGGTGAGATTGTCCAGTTGCATTGGGTTTTTCAAATCGCAGAAACACTATTTTCACATCACAGTGTAACTTAAAACCGGTACACTGCTGCAGCTGAGATGGACCAACGTAAATTCTAACAACAACAAAGGTAACAACAACATCTAACAACAAAATCTACACTTTGTTTGCACGCTCCGGCCCATCTACCTCAACTCATGTGCAGTAAGAGAACTGAAAACAGTAGATAAATATACAATAAGTTGGTGTTATCTTGTAGAAAAACTGCCTCACCTTTAAAAAAGTGTTAAAACACAGTATCTCGACAAAGATTTATGAGCAATCTGAGATCACAGTTCGTCTGTGTGCCAATAATCCTCCTCCGAGAGTGGAGCGTTTGATTTAAGAGACTGCTCTCTAAGATATTAAGAATGTGAAAGGGGGGAGATTGATCCGAATAAACACAGGCATGTGTGTATGTGCGCGCATCTTACATCTGCAGTGGGCCACAGCTCCTTGATGATCATCTCTATCCGGTTCACCACCTCCTTCCTCATAGCTGCTTCCTCCGGCCGAGGAGACATGAAGTTGTAGAAGTCCATCACCTCCTCGTGGAGTCTGGACGGAGAGGACGACAGATGAGGGTTATTCTCACCACTGTGACAATGATGCCACACACAGACTAGTATGAAACCTGGACTGAGAGAAGGAACTGTAGACAATGTGAAATCTCTCTTTTGCTTTGGACTATTTCATTTCACATACTTATATACAGCTAACAATCACATGAGGATATCTTATAAAAACTGACGTACACATGCACAGTTTTTGGCTTACATTCTGGAAAAAAAACACTCTCCAGATGGCCTAAGATATGCTTCCTTCTTATCACTGTGCTGGTTAACCCCCGTCATGCCAGAGCCAGGAGAAGCAAAGCAACAGCATGGTATGCTCTACTGACAATTATTACGATGCAGTTTCTGTTTTACTTGTGGTCTGAATATCAAAAACACAAAATACATGACAATAAGCTGTGTCTGTATTAGTGCTGATCCTGTACAACCAATACACATTAAATACTGTATCTATGCAACTGCAAAGCACTTCAAAAAGTCCGAACTATCCCTTTAACACTAGACTTAGCCCTAGTCATAACAGCAAGTGTAACCATAGCCCTTAGCATAACCACTAGCCCAGACATAAGAATGGAACAAAAGTGGTCATGGTAAAAAATGACTGGATGGAGTCCTCTTATCTTACTATCAGTGAGGACAATTGTTCCTCATCTAGAAACAGATACAACACACACCTTTGAGGTTTTGAGAGGGATGTGAAGAGCGTTTTAGTAAAACACTGAGGGCCATATCAGGCAAGGTATGCCTGAAGTCCCAGGCTTTATTGTTATTGCTCATATGCTTTGTCTGGCAACAGGAGGGCTCACGTAATGTAAAGATCTCTGACTAGTCAAATGCCTCAGAACAGTGGAACTCTGTTCAACCCTGTGGCCATTCATTTTTCTAGGAATGCATGCTATGATGTCAGTGTGAAATACAGAACAGGGAGACTGTCACAATCAATTACCAGAGCCCTGGAGGAAGTGCAGTCAGCCCATGTGCCCACTCTTTGGTCAAAACTCTCTGCCAGCAAGCCAGTCAGGCCAGGACGTATCCATGCCAGTAGTCCACCGCCGACAGAGGGCATGGTTAGTGTTGGCCCCCCACAGTCAAAATAAGAGCTGCTACTACTTCTGCTGCCATCTCTGACAAACTAGTTTAGAGTCATCGCCTCTTCAGTGACTTTAGGCCCCAGTGTTACAGAGCCCAATGTTCACTGGTGCGGTCTGTGATCACACTGCAACAGTTTTCTATTAACCCAACCCTAATCTCTGGTCATCACAATATTATTGCAGCATAACTAAGCGATTATTTGAATTTTCAATTTGAAGTGCAAATCCTTCAGTGTGAGACTTCAAAGGGTGCCCCTGAAGGCAAACTACTGCGAGACGTGTCGGTGCACAAGCCAAAACTTGCATTTGAAAACTTGTACAACACAAATACCCAGAAGAAATTACACTCACTATTTGCATTAACAACTTAAATTCTCAGTTAACTTTGAATTTTTAGGAAACTAAGCATCGAGCATGTGGAAGTGCTTTCATGACGAACACAGATTTCCGTGTACAGAAAATTCCCAGATGGGTGCAACCAGCCATTACAAATATCACAAGGTCCTGCAACACATCTGGGAGTTCCTTGGTCATTTCTTTTGGATGAAGGCCTCTGCCAGAGTCAAATAACTGTCGCTATAACATGCAAAAATCAGAATATATTCAGTTACATGACTCTTACTACACCAAGAATGTGTCATAATTTACACCTACTAATCATGCATAAATACCAAGCAGTAAAAAGTTAAGCTGTGCTCGAAATGTGTTCATATAACTGATTATTACTTTGGCCAGGTTTTAGCAATAGTGCATATGTACATATTAGTCCTACTGTGGCTGTTATGTCACCCTATGAGACAGCTCCATGAAGAATAACTTGGAAAATAGAGTTAACTAGCATAAAGGACAATCACCTAAACACACTAATTAATTCAGTGTAGTGAAATACAATTAAACTACTGAGACATGTAGTATAAAGGTGCCTCCTTTAAACTCAAAGTTGTATCATACCCTGGCTGTAAGCTGACTGACTGCTTTTATGATCAAGTAATTAAAATAATTGGAGATTGCCTGCAGGTGACTGAGCTCAGTTAACGTTACTTAACTCAACGTTACACAAGTTATCCAACCCTGTTAGCTAACACCTGGGCATGTTGGGGTATTTTATAATGCATTTTTTGAATTTCAACTCCACTTTCTATTTAATTTAATTTCTGTATTTAATTATAAATAGTTGGGGGAGTTTATTAATTTAGTTTTTAAATAGCTAGCTTGCTAACTTTGATGTGGAGACAAATCCGTTAGCGCTAGCTAAGTTAGCTAGGCTCGTCGGTCAGGCTAACAAACGGACTACACTCACTTCCGGTGTAATCCTTCTAAATAAATCGCCCACTTAAATAACACTTGTGAAATTCGACGATGCGATAAGCTATTTTATTATAGATTATCCTATAATACGTAACTTTTAATCGTATTTGTTCGTAGTTTGTCGGGAAAGTGTCTTTTTTAACAGCCCGGTTCAAACTTCAGCAGACAAAATCAGAGCACTTCCGGTCCTGATTTATCTAACGGTAGCTTTTTAGCTCTCCAGCAAACAGCCTAACTCCAGTTTACACTGCAATGCTGGCTTTACTGTCGTATGTAGGGTTTACTGCGATGGGAAACCACTAGCTGAATCACGTTTTATGCATCCCACATATAATTATGGAAGAATTAACGACATTTAACGTTTAAACCCAGCGGTAAGCGACGAAGCCTTTAATACTACAGCTGTGATAGTATTGAGACTCACCCGAGGACCCCAGGATTGTACTTCCTCGCCTTCCAGGGCGTCCAAGTGCTCGAATAATTGCCATTAGTGCAGTTTGAAAGCAAGTAATTCATCCCATAAGTGCTTGCTTTGTTGTCACTTTTCCTCCGGCCCGGGTGGTGGTTGTGTGTGTGGTTTACAGGTACAGAGGGGTGAAGCTGGTGGCGTTTCGCGCATATCTGCTGTAAATTGAACGCCGGGTGCTCCTGTAGGTGACGGTGATGGTGGTGGTAAAGGTTGACATTATTGTCCATGCTGTCGCTCACGCTGAAGAGCAGATTGGCACCCCCGACGTTTTTATTAACGTTGCCCGTTATATTTCCACCCATAGTCCTCTCTAGTGAGCAGCTGGAAGGGGGGCAGTCCGTCCCGGATTCCTGCGAGGACGACGAGGAGACGGATCCCGTCTTCTGGGGCAGGGTTTTCCTCTCACCTGGCTCGACGGCGTTTGTCGCGGTGAAGGAGCCGTGTACGTTCCCGTTGGACAGCGCTATCCCCAGCGAGGGCATCGCAGTGCCGTTAATACTCGTAGTGCCGTTCATGATGCTGTGATGGCTGCTGCCGTTGCTCAGGCTGCCAGTAACGTTCCCGTTGCTGCTGCTGCAAGCGCTCTTGCTCGATGCCACCGCGGTCGCCACATTTTTTAAAACATCCAACGCGGCGTAGCTGACGCACTGGTTGTGGTTCTGGTTGTGGAGCTGGTGCTGAGCGGAGAGGGTCCGTACTCCCTGAGAGGTCTCCCAGACGTGCATCCATAAGGCGTTCGCAGGTCCTTTCTGTTCGGGCTGAATCCAAGCTACCCTCGGATCCATTCAACTTCTCTCTCTGGTAGCCCCCCTACAAGTATGTGACCGACACCCGCGAGCCCGTCGTGAGTCCTTTCAAAGGTCGCTGCTCTGTCCGGGGTTACGAGAAGACAAGTATTTAAACATTAAACCGAATTAGGACCATTGATAAAGTGGCCCCTTTACACCGCTAGCTGGAAAAAAATGTTAGCCGTTTCCTACGGGAATTCAATATGGCGTATTCTCTTCAAATCCATGCGCATGCGCCCTGCGAGGGGTTTCTTTAACGATGACTGCGCCCCCCATCCGCCCACTCCTTCATCACTCCGGCCGGCTGATGAATTGCACAGAATAAATATTTGAATTTTTATTTGATAAATATTTAATTGAACAACACGTAATAAAGTCCGCGGCGAAATGTCAATAGTAAATAAAGGGTGCTGCGGCCCGGGGGCCCCTGAGGCAGCGCCTGGGAGCCCTGAGGTCCTTGTACACTATCTCCACCTCCCGGCCATCAGCGGTGGGTGGGTTCATAGGGCATCCCCCGTCAATATGAGGCCGAATCCTGCAGAAGTGACAGATAACTGTTCGCAGCCTGGCCTCAGACACATATCTGGAATTACAGGCACGTATTGGAATTTAAATTAGAAAAAAGCAATATATTTATATATATGCAAAGCTGTGGGTGTGGGGGGCATTACTAGTGCAGGATCCTGTCTGTGCCTCTGCCACTGTAAACATTTGAAATATAACTCCAACAAAAGCAAATCTACATAAACATTAGGCAGAGAGCACATTGTGTTGTCAGCTGGCATCTGAGATACTGCTGGGGGCCATAATCAAAACCTGTGGCCCTTAAAATGCTGCTCACATACATACAAACAGCAGAAAGCTCTGCATTCCACAGGGCAACACCGGAGAGCCTCCTTTTTCTCTTTATTATTTCAGATGCAGCCCGTGAATCCAAATGCTCATTTTCAAGGGGCAATACGCAGCAGGTGGCGTTGATCATCCCAGACGCTGTATGCCACCCAGCCCCGGTAACAGCCATCTCCCAGCCCATTAAGCTCCATGATGGAGCAGAGGCAGCCAGGATAAGGCATAACCAGCACCTTCTGGGATGCGTATGCATGTAAAAGGGAGATTGAGGGAGAGCGCGTCTTGCATAATGCCCGCCCCCAACTCCTGCTACTCACGTGCAGCATGTGACAGAGTCAAGGAAAACCCCCCAGAGCAAAGTATGTGCCAGCTAGGATATGTAGCCCTCTGTATAACACACTCAGGCACACACACAGCTGCTCACTCCCACTGTACGCCTGGAGAAATCTACACTCCTCTTTCTATCTCCCTCTATCTTAGACTGGGTGAAACACAGGCGTTTGAGTGAAACACCAGATTGAATAGGTTATTCCTCTCATCTCTCATGTCACAGTCTCGGCTCAAGCCAAACGCCAACACTCACTGTGTGCCAGTGTGTGTGTGTGTGCAATTTCAAGGCTGGTTTGCCTCATTGTCAGCTTTTATGGGATTACCACATTGGTGACAACTGGACCATAGCTGACAGATGCCTAACACACACACACACACACACACATATATACACACACAGAGTCAGGGCTGCAGAAGTCAACAGTATGCTCTCAGGCATAACAGTAATAGCAGATAATATTAAGGAAGCAGGCGGCAGTCTGAGGCTGCATGTGGCTTGAATGATAATGAGGCCGCAGCATGTTCCAGATATTTAACCCACATTAGTGGAAAGCTGCATTTACACTGTTATATCAACAGCTATTTCACATCTCCACACATGAGCATATTGCCTGTGGTGTGAGCCGCACTGTGGGGTTTTGTACAGCGTAACAAAGACACAGTTACAATGGGCCCAGTGAGTATCATCCAGCTACAGAGCAGCAGCTCCTGCAGGTTCACACATAAACCTGGACCTGCAACCTGTGCAACCTACATCAAAGAAACAGCAGTGAGACCTGAAGATGCAGACATGCTGATGTGAGCCATCTACAGGCAAAGACAAACACAGCAATCAGACAATGTATGAGTCTCTATGTTTGTTTTAATGCACTGCTTTTTATATGTTTTGCCTTCTTACATATCTTCTTTTCACATTTTCAAGGGATAGTTCAGATTATTTGAAGTGGGGTTGTGTGGGGTGCTTATCCATAGTCAGTGTATTACATACAGTAGATGTCAGTTTGGACGACCCCAGTTTGGAGAAGCAGGCTGAAGTCCAACATGGAAGCTGAGCAATGTGCTGCTGTGGAGGGGTAAGCAACAAAAATGTATTTTAGCCACTTAAAAAAAAAGATTACCAGTTTAAGTTTACGCTATATTGAGAGTATTTTCACTGCTTTACCTTAATGTCAGAAAGTGATTTCCAACAGGAAAATAAGGCCGTTAAATAGCCAGACTCCATTTAGAAAAACAACGATTTAACATTCCTGAATGCAGGAGCCGCTGGTCGACCGCTGCCTCAATCAGATAGTTTGTGTTACTGTGTGACTTTGGCATTTTAGACGGTTAGTTTGGATTCATTAAAGTCACACAATAGCACAAACTAACCACCTGATCAAAGCAGTGGTAGATCACCAGGTTTAGTGTTCAGTGAGCTAAAATTACTGTTTTTGTCAATGGAGTCTGGTGGGTTTGACGAGCGCAAAGATTGGGAGCTCAAGCCGTTAATGGCTCCCTCATCAGAACAGGCTGTGTGATGGAAGATAAAGCAGTAAAAATACTCCCAATAAATCATACGCTTACACTGATATTATTTTCTTTTAGGTTGGACTTTTTTTAGGTGCTGAAAGATGTTTTGTTGCTGACCCCTCCACAGCAGTAGATGCTTAGCTTCTGTATTGGACTCCAGCCTGCCCAGATTTTGTCAGAGCCCCACACACACTTATTACATCTACACTTTTGCTAGCTGCTCTGTAGCATGCTTGCTAGTCTCGTTAGCGGCTGTGTCAGCACAGCTGGAGATATCGCTGTCAGCAGAATCCAACACGTCTTCTTTCATAGGGCAAAACAGGAGAAGGTCACGCGACACTTCATCCGACTCAACGTAAGACGATTAAGTTATAGAGCTTTCAGCGCACTGCCACCAAAACAACAACAACCACATGCTGCACCAATGACGTAGCAATGACCTGAATCCTGGTGGTCGTTTAGACTTGTATTTAGTGCTGTCCACTTGGGATCAGATCACCCAAAATGCATGTTAATACCAGGTCAAAGCAGGACCAGTGTTTTCATTAGTGTAGAATCACCTGATACTAAAAATATTTGCCATTTATATCTACAAATGAAGTTCGCCATGTCGTTTCTACAGTAGCCCAGAACGGAGAATTTTCATTTGGTGGCCATCTGCAGCCTCCCTGCTAGATGCCAATCCTACACGCTGGACCTTTAAAAGCCAGTTCATTGAAAAGAAAATCCATTGGTGTCTGCCTGAAGATGAATTGCATTATAGTCAGATGGCAAGCTCGGTACATACGGGCCGTGTAATATAGTGATGCAATTACAAGAAGCGTGGATAAAGAGGATACACGGAGGAAATAGCCTGAAAGAGAAAGAGAGAGACAGCGGGGACCTCGAACATTAAGGATGCCACTCTGCATAGCCTTCAGCGACACACCGCCTTCATTTCTCATCACACTCAGACACAGAAGTCCTATTATTTATTGATGAAACCATGTGTAAAATGATGACGGAATATATTCAAATACAACACGTTAATAACATTCATAATGACGTTACCTTTGCTGTGACTGGTTTGGGGAAATGTCCCCAACTGGGAACACAGGGACTGATCAAGAGGAAAAAGCAGCTGGCACATTTTGAGAGAGGAACACAGTAGAAAATGTTTCAATGCAGTCAAGTTTGCAAATGAATTTAGCTTGTGAAAAACTGTAACCAAAGTGACGATAAGGCACAATTCCAAAAAGGTCCTGACTCTCACTGATGAGATTATGTGGCTGGTGGTAACAGTGATTATGAAACACTAATATAACAGAAGAGATGTTCACTTTGATCCCAGTGTTTTGTTTTCTTATCTTTCCTCCCAGGCTCCCTCTTTTCATTCAGTCATAAACAACCTCACCCATTCAGTGTTTATGCCTTCACGCACTCATTCATCCTTCCTTCCTGTCCTTCTCAGAAGCCCTGACAGGAGTGATGTGTTGAGGCGACGCTCTCCTCTTCTCATTTCAGGCATGGGTGAGTTATTGAGGGCTGCGCTCGACCTCCATTTGATTCCCTGCAGCCGAGAAGCTGTGGACAGTCTTCACAGGACAGAGATGGTCACCTTTTGTTCCAACATGGCTTCTTTATCCAGGAGTCTGAGCTGGGTGTCATCAGAAGGACTTTTCTACCTGCCTCATCATCTTTGTCCAGGAGTCTGAGATGATGAGGCAGGTAGAAAAGTCCTTCTGATGACACCCAGCGTAAAACAGCAGGAGAATGTGCTGGGACTTCATTCAAGGCCCTCCTTCGTTCGTCTTTTCAATTGCAATGGATGTTAAAAAGATGCATTCGCAACAGATGACTCTTGAGAGTGAATGAAAACTTTAAGTGTCTGCTTTGCATTTTTTCAGTTTATGTTCCATCTGGGAGAATATGCAGATCAGCGGAGAGTCTTAAAAGTGTTTATTGCTGCTGCAGAGTGTTATAAATCCACTGTATTACTGTTGAGATATGCTCCGTCCGCTTTCTTATTTCCTCCTGAGGAGCGCTGAATGTTGCCTCTCCAGCAAACACAGCACTTCCATTCCAGTACATTCAGTGCATAGTTGAGGTGCTTTTGCTTTATGGACATTATTAACAATGTAATAAGCACAGGTGATGACAAACATCTATTTAACACAATGGTTTTTAACTGTTGCTTGCTTGCAGCTCGGATGAGATTGTGTGCAAGCACGCAGCCGGCTTCATTTTGTTTTCAGTGAAACAATATCTTCAAGCTTTGTTCTGACATTAGAGCTTTCCTGAACTAAAAAAAAATATTGTGGGATGTTCTCTCGCCTCAGCCATTCTAAGAACCAGTACCTTCTCAGACTCCCATGGTGGTTTTACAAAACAAAGGGAATCAGTGCCTTCCTAGTTTTTGGGTAGTCTTCGAACTTGCCGTGGTACCATCTGCAGCGAGAGAGAGAGGCAACGAGACATTTTCATCCATTAATACAAGCTTTAAAGTGCGCAACACACACC